AGAGAGAGAGAGAGAGAGAGAGAGAGAGAGAGAGAGAGAGAGAGAGAGAGAGAGAGAGAGAGAGAGAGAGAGAGAGTTTTCCGGTCATGCACGCAGAGAGATAAAGAGAGGCCGGGCACAGGCACCCAACTGGATTGAGAACCGGAAAGAGATGCGAGAACGCAATCCTGCTAAGAGTCCCTCAACCACCGGCCGACGCTCAAAATTCCCCTCTTCTTAGTCTCGCCTAACCCGTGTACGCAGACAAAACACGCACATCAGCTCGCAGCTCACGCGCGCGCGCCCGGCTAGCCAGGTGGCGGCCCATTTTTCTTTTGTTTTTTGTCATCGGAGATGGCTATGGTGGGATTTTTGTCACGTTGTTTGGCGGAGGACGAGCGGGAGGAGGAGCGGGAGCAGTGGGAGGACCGGGAGGAGGGATGGGAAAAGGAGTGGGAAAAGGAGTGGGACGAGGTGCAGGAGGGGAAATGCGAAGGGGCGGAGGAGCCGCGGGAGGAGGAGCTGACGAAGGAGGAACGGCAGGGCAACCGAAAGGGGGTTGGGAGCGGGAGAAGGAGCACGAGGAGAAACGAGAAGGGGCGGAGGAGGGGGAGCGGGGAGGGGGTTAACGAATGCGCGGGAGGCAGAGGAGGGGGAGGAGATATGGGTGGAGGAGGAGAGGCGGGAGGAGCACGAGGACGAGCGGGAGGAGCGACAGGAGGAACGGGGGAAAGAGCAGGGGAAGCAGCGGGAGAGGAGGAGGAGAGGGAGGAGCAGCAGGAGAACGAGCGAGAGCAGGGCTATGGAGGGCTATGGAGGGATCTTTGTGACGTTGTTTGGCGGAGGAGCAGTGGGAGGAGGAGGAGGAGGAGGAGGAGGAGGAGGAGCGGGGGAGGGAGCGAGAGAAGGCGTGGAAGGAGCAGGAAAGGAGCGCGAGCGGGGCTATGGTGCGGAAAGAGGAGCGGGAGGAGGGGGAGGAGGAACGGGGGCAAAAGAAGGAGAAGCAGCAGGAGGAGCGGGAGGAGCAGCAACAGAGGGAGCGAGAGAAGGAGAGGGAGGAGGGGCGGGAGAAGGAGCGGGAGCGGGGCTGTGGCGGGATCTTTATCATGTTATTTGGTGGAGGAGCGGGAGTAGAAGGAAGAGGGGGAAGAGGAAACTGTTCAAACGGCCCTGCCTGTGCGCATGTGCATGTGTGTGTCACACACA